ACACACACCACACACGATCCAGAGCACAAAAGTCACATCAAACATGGGCAGTCAAGCCTCAGACCGGCATCGCTAATAAAGTGCATCAAGTGGCGTGCAAACGGTAAAAGGTCTTGAGGCAGGTGTGACACGCTCTCTATTATGGATTAAAAGTGTAAGTGAGTGTAAACAGTGAGAAATGCTGAGACAGGTGAACAGCGTTTGGTTAATAGTGAATATTGACCTATTGTGCGTACCGTTGTGGCTCCCGCTGTTAGCAGGGGATAATCGCTACATTTGGGGTAAAAAAGACATAATTATGTATTGTGCCAAGAAGGTTGCACTGTCTGTTCGTTCACACAGGTACGAAACTGATTGGTAGCTGCCTTTAGCGGAGCCTTTACCGATTACCTACATTGATCAGAGCATTCGGCACGGTCGTCTGTGTGACGTCACCTCCCAACACAAACACGCCCCCTAGTATAGTCCCGCCCCTGACGATGATTGGCAGCTTTCCATGTAGACATCGGAAATTCAAATGCAAAAGGAATTGCGATTCCATTTGAGTTTTGGCAGGTTACATGCGCGACGCAGCGAGAGTGAAAAAGCAGACGTGGTAATTAATATTGCTATTTAAATATGACAGGCTCGTAACTCCTAAGACATGGGAAATACAGCTGCAAATGGACTTTGCTTTTTCATTTGAAATTTGGCAGTCACTGTGCGTTCGCAAAAGCGAAAATGCAAACGGTAATGCAGGATTTGCAATTGCATTTGGATTATGTCACAATTTATGCGTCCACATATTGAAAACGCGATTGAAAATACAATTTGCAATTCCTTTTGAAAATTGTCCGGAATATCGTTCCATACAACAGAGCCAACAATATGTATAATATACAATGCCAGGTTTATTAGACAACTAGGAAGCAATATAGAGAAGAGTAGAAATGCTGAGAAGAAAGACATTATGAGTGAACCTCAAAGAACATGTTAAAATAATTTAAGAATGACCCCTTTAAACTTCGTCAGTCATTGTGCAAGATTCAACTTTCGAGCATGTGATATTAATAAGATCTGTGTAGATGCATGAGTTAATGAAGATTAGTGTGTGTGGTTAAATATTGTAATTAATCAGAATGTTTTAAGATGCTGTAACCAATAAATAATTAAATAATATTTCCCATGAACTCGAGAACCATGAAATTAAAATGGTATCTGTTTGCTTCAAATTACTGTTTGTTTTTTTGTTGTTTTTGTTTGTTTGTTTGTTTGTTTGTTTGCATCACTAAGTTCAACTGAATGTGCTAAACATCGATATTTAATAAGCATTTTTTCTTTATTTTGTTACATAATTGGTATTTGTGTGTGTGTGTGTGTGTGTGTGTGTGTGTGTGTGTGTGTGTATTTCAGGTAAACCGGCCCCTAAACGGCCCATAGAAACAAAACAAGCTGTGGTTGATCATTTAACATGTCAGTTAGATAGCTGTTTCCTGTCTAAGTGGGCATATGTTGGCCAGAAGAAGCTGCAAAGTAGACCAGCCTTTATGCCTATAGTCAAAAGGATATGAGATTGTGTTCCCATTCTTACGAATAGCTCATTACACAGCTGCCGCAGAATGCCTCGCATAAACAAACGCATACACCGAACTACTTTGTCTATAGTGAGACGCATTCC